TTGCAAAAAAAAAAAAAAAAAAAGTAGAAAGAGACACTGGATGTTCTGGCCAGTGAATGATTTTGGAAGATGAGCCATTGAGCTAATCCTGCCTTGTGGCATGTGTGTGAGATGTTCTAGGTGGAAATCCCACGGGACAATGAAGAACACGTTTCTGCTGTGTGACACCCAGTCACACCAGGGCTGGGGCTGATCCTGCCTCATGTTTGCTGCCTTTGATTTCCCTCTCCTCTCCCACACAGCAGCTTGTGACAGATGTAGCCACCGCTTTTAACGACGGACCTTTGTGGAGCCGGGGAAAATGGCCACTTGAATTCAGAGGGAAAATAATGATCCTTTTGATTAAGCAAGCTGGCGTTGGCGGCTGGGCTGTGCCACCGGAGGGGAGAGCTCAAAGGGCACCTGCCTGTAACACGAACGATGGCAGGAAGTGTGCCTGGCTGCAGGAGAGAAAAATTGGCCTTGTGTTTGGAAAGAACAGAGGAAGAGAGATTAGAGGTTAAACTGGAAAGGGTGTTAAAATATTCTCATTGTATGATGGCTGTAGCAGTGGATTTAAATTGCTGAAATTACCTTGTCAGGATGCCTTATCAGCTGCTGTTCTAGAGATTGTTTGGTTTAGATAAGAACTGGAGTGCGATAAGACCTTGATAACAGTTTAGAGATTACAGCTCTTTTGAAACTGCTGGCACTTGCCAGGGGCTCTGAGCTGCAAGAGCTACGCTTGGATTTATTCCACTACCTTTTTTTTTTTTTTTTTTTGGCAACAGACTTCTTATATCAGGCTAGACTGTGATATATGGGACATCTGAAAACACTTAGTCATGCTAAATGTGGCTGGCAAATGATATACAAAACCAGCTACCTCTACTGGACAGAAGCATCAGTCCATCTGATGCAACTTCCTCTGGTCACCAAACACTGCTTTGACACAATTCCTAATTATTTCTGTCTTTATGGTGGAGCAGAGAAGTGAAATTAAGCTACTAAGACATTGCTGTGACTCCAATGCTAAGCAGAACTTGCCCATATCACATAATGCTTCTGTCCACAGCACAGGGCAGAGCAGCTTTAGAACCAAAGGAGTTTACCCTGGGCTTTCCACAGCTCCCACGAGGCTGGGGAGCCAGGCTCAGCTCTTGTGCAATGGCCCTGGGCACACCCAGCACCTGCAAGAGCAGCAGAGCCACCAAAGTTACCCAAAGTGACCAGAGGAGAGCTCCTGGAGGATCAGTGGTGCCATCACCGAGTGTGCCAGAGGTGCTGTCTTCGTATAAAAACAGATAGTGAACAGTTCAGACTAGAGAAATTGCTCAATTCCTTCAGGTTGAGCTTCCCAAATCCGGAAAGGGAATTCAAGATTTCTTGGTATATGCACACCAGTGGGGCAAAAAAAAATAAAAATCAGATGTTGCAAACCCCAAGAAATCGCTAAAGATGGAAAATTCTTCTACACCTTATTTCAAAACCTTTCTTCAATCAAAAGTTAATGAATCAAGAGACATACCAGATGCAAACTCCCATTTTCCTCTATAAATCAGTGTCTGACATGTGAAATGCAAACTAATTTGTTTACATTACAAGACTTAAATATGGTTAAAGAAATAATAGAGTGTCTTCAGTTTTAATCAGAAAAAATTATCCTGAGTTCCAGAAAAATTATCTAGCACAGGTAGGAACAGAACTACAAATAAACCATAGTAGCCTTCATTAGCCCCAAGAGAGATGAGTTATTATTTCCTTTCTCTTACACTGTAAAAACCAATGATTTTTTTTTAACCCCTGAATACCTCTGACTGGGAAAGCATTGGGTCTTTGACATCAAGGAAACCCACCAGTGGTGGTCTCATTCACGAGGTATGAAAACCTGGGTGTATATGAATATTGCTCTAAAGGAGGTAACATCAAGATCTGACAGCATGAGTGCCTACCATCTAGGAAGAAAATGATCAGCTAGTCCCGAAAGACATGTGATTTGTATCAAAATACACATCATCTTTGTGTTCCTCCTGCAAGGCTTTTCCTGGGAGGTTATTTGGGCTGGATGATGTGTTCTAATGGGTTCCTATTGTATAATATTTGCAAGGGCTGTGCATTGCCCTGGGTCCAACTGCTCTGCTCCAAGGAGAAATGAACATCAGAGCTCAAGCTGTTTCTTCAGCCAACCTGAGTGCACAGCGAGCTCGCCTGTGAAAGCACAGTTATGATACAGCCACTCAGCATTTAAAACATCCCATCCAACCCACCATAAACTGTCACTTCAGGCATTTATGGCAGACAGTAAACACATGCTTATCAGGGAGCTGCACCCTGCAAACTCAGCCAATGGAGCAATATTTCTTATCAAATCAATGGCTTATCAGGGAACTTAACAAAAATAAAGGTTACACCATACGGTCTCCTCCTTTTTACCTCTGCTCCATCAAGATGTACAACTCTAATTAAAGCTACATTGCCCAGACTTTGTAGATTTGCTTCCTCCTTGCCTGCCCTTGAAAGCAAAAGCCTGCCTTTAAAGCAGAGCACATGGAAACAATTCCCTCCCCAGCTGTGCTGAGCTGGACAAACACCACATCGAGCCCGGCCCCCAGCCGTGCCCACCTGCTCGGGTCGATGTCCCAGCGCGTCCCCCGGGCCCTGCTTCCTGCACCCAGGGACAGCACCAAGGGCAAGAGCCAGCAGCAATGACAGAGATGTGTCTGCACAGCCACTGGAACCACAGGGACACCATTGCTGCTGCTGATTTGGCTAACTGAACTGACAAATGGGAGCAAACACCGTGTGACAAAACAGAAAAGAGCTCCGATTCCCTTTTATCGAGAGCTGTCTAAAAATGTGAGGTCACGTTGCATGAACAAGGGCACTTCTGAAGCAAGCAACAGTGAATCTTTTTGTTTGACCAATTATTAAAGCTCTTCAGAAGCCATACTTCTCCGCACAAAATGAGTTATTCCACCTTCTGTGGTTGTTCTGTCCCACACCACAGCCTTACTCTCTGCTGGCAAAGCAACAATAGCCCCCTCAAACATCAGTTGGATGCAACTTACTGCCTGTAATTTAAGTTAACTTAATTAATGATCTTCTAATTAACTGCTGTTTAACAGTTGACATCAATGATAGATCATCTTCCATCCATAAGTTTGCAGCAGAGGCACTGGAAAGTACCCACATGAACAGCAGCCAGATGGAGACTGAGGAGTAGGTGTCTTGAGTGGGTACTCGTGCTGTTACCCAAAACAATTGCTATTAAATGCCTTCCCATATTC